TCTCGATTCCCCGATTCGACACCATGAAGCCAAGGAACCTGCCCGAACCGACCCCGAAAGCACATTTTTCGGGGTTGAGCTTCATGTTGTATTTCCTCAAAATCTCGAACGTTTCCTGTAAATGGGTCAAATAGTCCTTTGCGCGCAAGTACTTAACTAGCATGTCATCAATTTAAACTTCCATTGATTTACCTATTTGTTCTTCGAACATTTTATTTACTAGGCGTTGGTAAGTAGTCCCTGCATTTTTTATTCCGAAGGGCATCACATTATAACAATATGTTCCATATTTGGTGACAAACGAAGTCTTTTCCTGATCCTCCGGGTTCATTTGGATTTGATTATACCCGGAATAGGCATCGAGAAAAGTGAGGATCTCGTGACCGGACGTGGCATCGATCATGCGATTGATATTGGGAAGCGGAAAGGAATCTTTGGGGCATCCTTTGTACAAATCCTTATAGTCTACACACATTCTAAGTGTGCCCCCTTTTCTAGGCACTACAACTACATTGGCTAACCATTCGGGATATTTCACCTCCCGAATGGACCCCTATCTTGAGAAGTTTGGTTACCTCATCCTTTATGAATGCGTGTTTTTCCTCGGACTGGGGTCTTCTCTTTTGCTTTATCGGTCTGAACCTAGGGTCCAAGCTTAGCCGATGCGTCGTTATGTCCGGTGGGATCCCTGTTATATATAAATGGGACCAGGCAAAACAATCGACGTTATTGATAAGAAATTGAACAAGTTTCTTCCTGAGTTCAGGGCTCAACCCCGTTCCCAAGTATACCTTTCGCTCGGGCCAGTGCTCGATTAGTGTGACTTACTCTAGTTCCTCGATTGTTGATTTGGTGGCATCGGGGTCATCGGGAATCATGAAATATCGAGGGACCCTTTGATCATCATCTTCTTCGATCTTCTAGTTATCTGGCTGAGTCAAAGCCGATATCTGTGATTGCTATTTGGTGTCCCGTTCTCCTTCTGAGGCTGATCCCTTTATCGGCGAAGGCGAGGACATTGATTTTGCTTTCTCGACAGCGAAAATTTCCTTTGCGGCTGGTTGTTCTCCGTATACCGTTTTGACACCTCTTGATGTTGGGAATTTGAGGGGCTGGTGTAGGGTCGAAGGTACTGCTCTCATGTTGTGGATCCATGGCCTTCCGAAAAGGGCGTTGTATCTCATATCGCTTTCAATCACGTGAAACTTTGTTTCCTGGATGGTTCCGGCCACGTTTATTGGTAGGATTATCTCACCTTTGGTGGTTTCACATGCCATGTTGAATCCGTTTAGAACCAGAGTTGCGGGTACGATCTGGTCCTGTAGGCCGAGCTGTTCTACAACCTTCAATCTGATGATGTTGGCCGAGCTACCTGGATCGATTAACACACGCTTAATTTTAGTTTTATTCATGAATACGGATATTACCAGTGCATCGTTATGAGGTTGGATGATTCCTCCTGCATCTTCGTCATCGAAGGACAAAGTCCCCATGGGTGCGTAATCTTGAGTCCGAGATCTCTTTTCCCTCACAATCGATGTTTTAGTGCATTTAAACACTGGTCCCTGAGGGGTATCGACGCCGCCGATGATCATGTGAATGACGTGCTGCGGTTCTTCTTGCTCGTTTTGCTTGCCGAAATCCCTGTTTTTAAAATGGTTCTTCGCCCTATCACTCAGAAATTTCCGAAAGTGCCCTTTGTTAAATAAGCGGGCTACTTCCTCTCTTAGTTACCTGCAGTCTTCCGTTCTATGGCCGTGGGGGCCATTATATTCACACATTTGATTGGGATTCCTTTGGGCAAGAACGGTCTGCATAGGTCGAGGCCATTTAGTGTCTTTGATGCGTCCGATAGCCAACACGATGGCGGAAGCACCAACGCTGAAGTTATACTCTGATAATCGAGGTTCTTCTATAGGATCGGCATATTTATCAAAGCCTCTCTTGCTCATAAGTCTCCGAGAATTCTACCCTCGATCAATCCTTCGATTGCTCCGAACTGTATTGCGTGTCGAACCGTTGTTTATCTGATCTGCGATGTATGGTTGGTATCGGTCTCTGTTCGGCCTTTGTTCTCTGACGATCTCCCTTTGGCTTTTAGTAGATGTCCTGCTCTGATGCAAGGGTCCATACGGAGCTCCCGATTGATCATCCTCGACCCTAATTTTCGATTGATATCGGTTGTGTATATCTGCCCAAGTTATTGCTGGATACTCGATCAAATTTTGTTTTAGCCGACGTGATGCTATCGAACTTAGTTCGTTCAACCCTTGGGTGAAAGCTTGTACGGCCCAATCGTCTGTGATCGGTGGCAATTCCATGCGTTCCATTTGAAATCGGGATACAAATTTCCTCAGCATTTCATTACCTTTTTGCTTTACTTTAAAGAGGTCTGATTTCCTTGTTGCAACTTTTATGGCACCAGCATGTGCCTTTACGAAAGAATCTACTAACATGGCAAAAGAATCGATGCAATTTGGTGGTAAATTGTGATACCAGATCATTGCTCCCTTCGAGAGGGTCTCCCCGAACATTTTCAACAACACGGATTCAATCTCATCGTCCTCCAAATCGTTTCCTTTGATGGCACATGTGTAAGAAGTGACATGTTCGTTAGGATCGGTTGTACCGTTATATTTGAGAATTTCGGGCATACGGAATTTCTTGGGGATTGGTTTTGGGGCTGCACTCAAGGAAAAAGACTTTTGAATGATTTTTTTTTAGTCTAGCCCTTTTATCATTGGTGGAGCTCCCGGGATCTGATCAACCCTGAAATTATATGTTTCTACTTTTTTATCATTGGCTTCGACTCGTTTTGTGAGTTCCTCGAGCAATTTAGTAATTTCGGGAGTAATCCCCGATTCTTGCTCATTTGACTTCACTATGGCTAGTTCCGTTCTATGGGTGATTTCTCGAAGCAGATTGGCTTTTGCTTGGATTGTAACATCTCGAAGATCATCCGTAAGCTGACTCTGATCTCTTCCACGTTATGGGTGTCTCGAGCTATGGATCGAGTACCGCCCTGAATGCTTTTTTCCGGTTCGAAATGTTGGTTCGCCTCAAGAGCCACTTGTGAATTTACATCTAGCGGTGCTTCGACTCGAGCATCAGTGACATCGTTAGTTCGCCTTCCGGGCCAGGGTGTCAAGTTGTTGGTTTCATCTTGAAGGCCGGCTTCATGGTCAATAGGTAAAGCCATCAATCAAGGGTTTGACATTTGTCGATTTGAAGTTGTAAACTGGTGTGTATTGCAGATTTGTATCAAACAACCACTGTTACTCTTAGCCCCACGGTGGGCGCCAAACTGTTTACCCGAAAAATTGAATAACGTTAGATTTGTGTATGGTTCTAAGGATATGCGATACAATTTGATATAAATCGTGTTGAAAAATAGAAATAAGTGTATTCTTGACTATGGGAATGAAAATAGTGAGCAAAAAGAACGAATAAGATAAAGTTAATCAAACACAAGGGGATCTCTTTTAATATGAGATGTGATCTTTTTGTTGCTATTTGTCCTCCCTTAGCTTACAAGGACCCCGCTTTTATAATAGAGGGTCACTACATTATTTATAACAAAATAATAAAATAAAGCATATAGTGAAGAACTCATGATGATTTGTCTCTTCCTCGATTCCTGCCAAGATTCTCTCCTTGGTGCGGTTGCAACGGCTCTTGTCTGTGAGCTCGACACATGCTCGAACTCGATACTGGTCCGAACTCGATACTGGCCCGAACCCGTTACCGGGTTGGCTCTTCGGTCTTGACTTGAGCTCGACTTTCGGGGAAGGCGTGGTGCATTTTCGACCTCGAAGCAACGCCTCGGGCTTGATAGGATTATCGAGCCGACTCCTCGAGCTGCCTTTGGACTCGAGGCTCATTTGTACTGCCTTTGGAGCTTACTCCCAAAATCCTACTTTGGCTTCTTACCACTCGATCTCGATCGAACGTAAGAAAGCCGAAATCTGTTTTGACCGTATACAATACCCATTAGATATTATCTCATATATTCAGTATTAATTACTAAGTTACTGTCATAATATTTTCTATTTGGACATGGTTTTACTATTGCTACTTCTTATCGGCCGTATTAATGTCTCATTGCATTTTCTTGATAATAATTTTATTATTTGAATACTTTTTTTGAATGATTGTGATGAGAATGAGGAACTTTTCAGGCAATTTAACATGAGTACTTCATTTGGATATTTATTTTTGTAAAAAGAAGAAATATCTAAACTTATACGCTCAAAACCAAAAATTCAAAATATCCAAAATGATTAATCTGAAACCAGACTTAAAAAATCCAAGTCTAATCCGAGCTTATTTGAATTGGATTTGGATTGTTATTTCTTCAATCCGAAAAATGAAGATCCAAACTAAAATTTTCGTATCCAATCCGACTGCCCGAACGCACGCCCTCACAAGTAAACTTAGTATCGTGGTGTGAATTGTGATTATTATTTACCAACAAGGTACGAAATGCTAAATGATAGAAAATTAGCCACACATCTAGGGAAGGAAACTAAGTGGTCAATATTTTATCTAAATATGACACTACCTTCTTGGGTACTAATACTATGATATATATTATTAGCTTTTTTGGTCAAACTCTTTAAGAGCCAAAAGTATTTTTTTAATAGTAAAAATACTTATTTTAGAGAGTTGACGTGTTTAATCAAACTTTTAGAAAAAAATAAATAATTTTGAGCAGTAATAGAAATTATTTTTCAAAGGCCGTAAAAGTAACTTTTCTTAAAAGTACTTTTAGAACCTTGGTCAAGCACAAATTACTCATTTACTTTTGACAAAATTACTTTTTAAATTAATTAGCCAAACACAAATCGTTATTTCAAACTTCTCAAAATTAAATAAACAGAATTTGAAAGATTGACCAAACACGAAGAGCCACTTTTTGTCTAAGCAAAAAAAAAATGAAAAAAAAAATACAAATAATTTAGACATATTCTATAAAACCCAACTCATATAATGATAAACCACACCATTTAATATAACATTGTAACATATCAATCTGAGAGAGCGAGAAGAGAAATGAGTCTTGAAGGAAAGTTGGTTTCTGAGATAAACATCAAGTCTTGTGGTGATGTGTTTCATGAGATCTTTAGATATAGACCCCACCATATCTCAAGCATGTCTCCTGATAAAATCCAAAATGTTGACATTCATGAAGGTGAATGGGGAACTGTTGGTTCTGTGATTTTTTGGAACTTCACTCATGGTAAGCAATCACTACTCTTCAAATAAAATATTATGCATGTTTATATAAAGTGATTGTTATAATGTTAGTCCCTGTTTTCTTATACTAATATTTACACGTTAAAGATGAGCAACAAATTCAACAACCGGTCGTGGTCCGTCGAGGCGGATCTAGGATTTAAGCTTTATAGGCATAGACGAATCCGAGATCTAAACTTTATGGGTTCAACTTTTTAAGGTTTTAGTATTGAACCCATTATATTTTTAAAGTTATGGTTCATATCTATTATTTTTACAATTTTAACGAATTTTTATACATAAATTTTTACTCCGCGTCACAAATTATGGGTTCAGACCATTAAAATTTTTAGCATTAAATCCATTGTAATTTTAAAATTACGGGTTCAAATTTACTTTTTATTGAAATTTACAAGAATTTTTACACATAAGTTTATATTTTACGTTGAAAGTACTGGATTCAAATGTTGAAAGTACCGGATTCGATGAACCGGATGGCGCAGTGCTACATCGACTGCTGGAAAATGTCAGAATTCCGACCGCCAAAACGGATATCCGGTGATCCGGTCAGACACTATCTAGTGCTTCGGGGATCGACGAACCACATATTTATGTTTAAAAAAAAAAAACAAGCATAGATAGATTTAAATGTATATTTGAGAACCCACTCTTTCAACTCAAAACACACGGTATCTAAATTCTGAATCCTTCACATACTTGAGTAAATTCTAAACGTGTGAATGTTAAACCGATAAGAATACTTGGGTTGATTGGCGACTATTTAGGTTAATTCTAAGACTAACTGAGCTTTATTTTTGTATATTACAGATGGGAAGGAGAAGGTAGCAAAGGAGATTATTGAAGAAATAGATGAAGAAAAGAAGTTGGTTAAATTCAAGGTGATAGGGGGAGATCTACTGGATTTTTACAAATCAATTTATCTCACTGTTCATGTTGAAACGAAGGGTGAAGACAATTTGGTTACTTGGATCTTGGACTACGAGAAGTTGAATCCAGATATACCAGATCCACACACATTAATGGAATTCTGTCTTAATGTCACTAAAGATATTGAGACTCATCACCTAACTGGGAAGTTAGAGTCTCAAATTGAGATTAAATCTGATGGAGATGTGTTTCATGAAATATTTAGGTATAGACCACACCATATCTCTACTATGTGCTCTGATAAGATTCAGAATGTTGATATTCATGAAGGTGAATGGGGAACTGTTGGCTCTGTTCTCTTTTGGAACTACGTACATGGTAAGTTAACATTCTACTTAATTGTTAGATCCTACACGTTGTACGTAGGGTGTGTTTGGTCCGAAAGGAAAATGTTTTTTTTTTAAAAATGAGTGGTTTTATCACTTATTTTCTCATATTTGATCGGTGAGTGAAAAAGAATTTCAATTTTTTTTTTCGTGTTTGATTAGTGAGTAGCAAATATATATTTTTTTAAAAAAATATACTCCCTCCGTTTCAATTTATGTGAACATATTTCCTTTTTAGTCCGTACCAAAAAGGATGACCTCTTTCCTTATTTGAAAATAATTTATATTTATGCAATGATTTATAGCTACACAAAATATATGTGCCTCATTTTACACCACAAGTTTAAAAGNAATGTTTTCTTCCAATTAAAGAAAAATGAGTTGATAAGGAAAATATTTTTCAAAATATTTAAGTCAACCAAACATGAAAAAATTAAAAAATATTCTCCGAAAAATGTTTTACTCCATACCAAACACACTCGTAAGTTTTCTTTTCTTTTCAGCTTCCAATGCATATAGAATATTGTTTACACATCCCGCATCGTTCTTCATGTTTCGGGTCGAAATCCATGATATATATTTGAAGTTTTCTATTAACAGTATATCTAAGTTAAATAGTTCCAATAATCGAAGTACATGTTTTCTCTAAAATGAGTGTCAAAAGTATTTAATCTTTGCTCTGCCACATTATTGAAATTCCATGTTAACCATGCTGTGACCCCTTCTAAGTTGAGCTGTATACATAGGTGTCAAATTTAACACAAAAATATAGCCGACTAAGTCAGAGTTAAATGAGTTGTAATAGGTATATATTCATTGGCGGGTGCATTTGGGCATAGTCCACGTTAACCATCTAAAAGCTTGGACTAGTAGTCCAAATTGACCCATAAATAACTTATCAAAATATAAAAGGATAAAATTATTGGGTTTGGTTGGTTAGATATGATAAATAAATGAAAAACTTTGGTTAGTTGGATTTGGTAATCAAACAAATTATAAAAGAACAAGTAAACAAATGAAATATTATTTTTGAGTCGAGCAAGTTGGATTATGAGACGTTGCTTAATTAGTCCAAATTAATTCGTCTATCTTGACCCAAATAAATTTTGGACAAATTATAACCCAACATGTAGTTAATTCAAACCATATTAACCCGTTCAAATTCTACCCAACTCGCCCATTTGTACTGTGTAATTATTAAAGTTTTTATTATTATTATTATTATTGTTTGTAGATGGGAAAGAGAAGGTTGCAAAGGAGATAATTGAAGTCATAGATGAGGAAAAGAAGTTGGTTAAATTCAAAGTGATTGGAGGGGATTTGTTGGAGACATACAAATCATTTTATCTCACAGTTCATGTTGAGACCAAGGGTGAAAGCAACTTGGTTACTTGGATCTTGGAATATGAAAAGCAGAACTCAAAAGTCCCAGATCCACACACTTTAATGGAATTCTGCCTCAATGTTACCAAAGATATTGAGACTCACCATCTTAAATGTGATACATAAATCCCATATGCGTGGAATTAGGCTGCTGTCTCATGAAGTTTAATAATAATGTGTGTTTTGATTAATGGGTGTGCTTGAAAATAATGTCTACTTTATGCAGAAAATAAACATAAAAATGAGTGAATATGTAATTTCTGATTTTGTTGTGCATTGAACAACAGTTTGTGAATTTGTGTTGATAATGTTGATGTAATATTTTATCCTATTAATTCCAAGGTAAAAAAAAACATAAAAGCGTGCAAATTTGATTGAGAATAACTATGCAGTGTGCTAGCTGAATGACGAGTCTTGGACTTTGGATTGAATACTATTTTCGCCCTCCGTTCACATTTGCTTGTCACTATATCAAAAATATATTTTTACTTTTTATTTTTTCATTTTAGCAAATTAAGAAAAAAATAATTATCTTTTCCTCTTTTACTCTTATCATTAACTACTCATTTCTCAAATTATTTTCTAAATTTTTTTGAAATGCAGTCATTATTAAGGCTAAAATTATAAAAGATAAATTTTATTTTTTTAAAGAGAGTGTAAAATCAAAATTGGACAACTAAAAAAGAACGGATGGAGCTCCTATCACTTTTTGTTTGTTTTTTTGTTTTGTTTTGTTTTCAGAAAACCAATGTCAGTGTTTTTCTTCTTTTCTTGATTTTGTTTTTTTACAAAATCCCCTTATGTATACATAAGGATTGTGGAAAAGAGAAAATAGAAAGGGATGTAGGGTGTATTTGGCATGAAAGAAAATGTTTTCCTAGAAAATATTTTCATGAAAAATGAGTGATTTTATCACTTATTTTCCCTTGTTTGGTTGGTGAGTGAAAAATATTTCCCGGAAAAAAAAATATTCGTTTGTTGAAATGAAAAAAAAAAATCTATCTATAACATGAAAAGAAATTACTGTTAATAATATTTTTATTTAGGGTGTGTTGAGCTGGGTAGGGTGGGGCGGGGTTGGGGTGTGAGGGGTAGGTTGGTGGGGATGGGAAAATGGGGTGAGGAAGGTTGAGAAGGAGTTTTGAAAAATATTTTTCCTTCTCTTAATATGAAAAAAATTGGAGGAAAATGAGTTCACGAGAAAAATATTTTTCAAAACATTTAGGCCAACCAAACATGAAAATGAAAAATATTTTTAGGAAGATATTTACCTTTATACCAAACACAGCTGTAATCATGAAACATATACTTACTATGTGGGAAGCTTCTGTCGATCAAAACACTGAATTGTCTATTAAGATTTAGAGTTTAGTGGTAGTAATGTTTGTACTTGAATTGCATATATATGGTTCAAATGATTTTTTAAAATTAGGGGTGGAAAAAAAATAAAAATAAAAATAAAAAAAAAAAATA